TATAAAGACGTATACTAGATAAATTTATTATTTATTTTGAAATTTATTATTTATTTTGACCTAATTATATTTTCCATTTATGTAACTGATATACTTAGTGATTTTGATATATTTTATCTCTTCTCATAAATTCATTTTTTTATTTTAAAACTAAAAAAATAATAATTTTGTTCTCACATTTCTAATATAAAATTCAAGTTATGATTTTTAATTAAATATTTAGTATTTAATGAACAAACTGGGATATTAAAATTTTTCAAAAATTTAATAAAAACTCAATAAGATATTTTTTTAAAAATATATCATGTATATCTACAATTATTTTTTGTGTTTGATTTTAGTCGTGTCATTAGTTTTATTTTTATATTGTTTTGAATTTTAAATTTTAATTTTTCACTAACTTATATTTGCATGTGTTTGTGTATTTGATTTTAATCTTTCCATTTTTTCTTCATATGTTTTATAAAATTTAAATTTTAATATCTCATTGATATGATTATTAAATATTGACACATGATATGTCGTTATCTTTTAAGAATCACAATGTCTCAAAAATGTTGATATTTTTAAAATTAAGAATAATTTGTTGTTTGAAGGAACTAATTTTTTTAAAATGAAAACATATTTAAAGCTTAAATAAATAAATAAATAAATGTATAAGATATGTGATTAGAATTTAAAGAAGAAAAAATATATGGGGGGGGGGGCGTAAAATTTAATGTTTTAGTAGATGAATTTTGAAAACAAGAATATTCGAATAAATTAAATTAATTTAATGTATAAAAATTTTAAGTTAAAAAAAATTGGCCAGAAAAAAATGACTACACAAAATTTGTTTAATTCCAAGAATAGAGGAATTTAATTGCTGAAAACTTAATTGCCTTAAAATCACACGTTATCTAAATTTAAGGAAATAAATATGTCATGTATTTTGCTTCTGTAAATAATTATAAAAACAAATTATTATTATTATTATTATTATCATCTTTATATTAGGGATGACAATGGGTAGGGTATGGGTAGGGTACTATAGTACCCATTCCCATACTCGCATTTTAAAAAAATACCCGTATCCAGTCCCATACCCGCGTGGGTAGTACTTTTAGTCCCTGTCCTCGTACTCTCTGGGTACCCGCATACCCATACCCACCCTTATTACCCGCGCATGTCTAAGAAAAAAAAAGCAGTTATAAAAAAATATATACTTATATAATATTACCGAACAAAGTTCAAGTATAAGTAAAAAATAAATATTCAAAGATCATAAGTGTTAAGTGTATCTTAATACATCAACTTTCTAAACTAAAGTACTTAAAAATTAAAAACAAAATTGCACACATAATCTACAAGATCTTGTAAAACAATCAACTTCTAAACTTTATATTCCTGTACTATCACTCTGTAAGACCTAAAAAAATAACATTAGTTAATTATTTATTGTAAAGTCAACATGGTATAGTTAGACTATTTTACCTCTTCATCAGAATCAGACTCTCCAAATGACTGTAAATGTTTATCTTTCAAGTTTACATATTGCTTTGATCTAGTAATACCAATAGAAACTAAAACATACAAGTACATAATAAGAAAATCAATAATTAAGCTATCAAATTAAAATTAACAAAAATATTTAATTAAATAAATATATTAATAGACTATTCAATACCTTCATTTTCATGTTTCAACTAACTTTGGGCGCACATGAGTGCTTCCAAAGTATCCTCATGAAGTCGAGAACGATGAGGACTCAACAATCTACCTCCTGTGCTAAAAGTAGACTCTAAAGCAACGGTTGAAATTGGGATGACCAAAATATCCTTGGCAATTTTTTGCAATATTGGATATTTGATCCCATTTGATTTCCACCACCCAAGGATATCAAAACTAGCACTTCTAGGCAATACCTTCCCTTCCAAGTAGATATCCAACTCAAACTTTGATTACATATCATTTGTATCTTTAACAAATGAATCATAATCACTTAAAAAATTATTAACATTAAGTATATCCAAATTCATCTCCATCTTATTAGACTTTTCAGCTGAACTTTCTACTATTCCCATGGCTTTAGCTTGATAATCTTCAAACAACAAGTAGCATAATTTTTTCACATTGTTAATTTGAAAAGAAGATGAACTTCCATAGAGCTTGGGAAAGAAGTACTCTAACAACTTTAATTTATATCTTGGATCCAAAAAAATGGCAATTCCCATGATTCCATGTATAACAGACCAATATTTCTCAAATTTAGTTACCATTTTTGTAGCCATATTTCTAATAGCCTCAATTGAACAAATTTGTCATTGTTGCAGAGATAACTTTATTTCACAAACTAATAGGAATAAAATATTTGTTGTAGGATATTGTGTTCCAGAAAACATCTCAGTCACACGATTAAAGACTTCTAACCTACTACAAATTTCTTTAGTAATTTCCCAATCATTTGTTGTAGGGATACATGTATACATATGCTTTCTTGTTTTCAAATGAATAAAAACATCTTTATAAGCCAATGCAACAACAAGCATGTGATAAGTAGAATTCCATCTTGTTTTGCAATCAAGTACAAGTTTCTTTGTAATGGAAACTTTGATTTGACGTGCTGCTTCCTTAAAGGTTTGTTCTCTTTTAGGTGTAGCTGTCCAAAAAGCAATACTACTTCTAACCTTCTCTATGCCATCTCCAAGAATATTTAAACCATCTTGAGCAATTAAATTGAGAATATGTGCACAACACCTCATATGAAATAATTGACCATCAAGCATAAGAGAAGAACAATCAAGTTTGTTTAGTAACAAACCAACAAGAGAATCATTTGTACTACAATTATCCAAAGTGATGGTAGATAACTTTCTATCAATATTCCAATCTAGCATGCATTCAACTAACACTTTAGATAGAGCTTCTGCCGTATGTGGACATTCCACATATACAAACCTATTAATGTAAAAATAAATTATATACATATATAAAAAAAATATTGAAATAATGCAAATAATTACTAAATGAATATATCATATAATGATCATAAAAATTATACCTTAATATGCGATTTTGCATATCCCAATCATCAGTAATGTAGTGAGCTGTGATAGCCATAAACCCTTTCTTTTGATTGCTAGCTGTCCACATGTCTGTTGTTAAAGCAATTCTACTTCTAATCATCTCTAAGAGTCCCATAGTCTTCAACTTTTCATTCTGATATATTTTGATAATGTCACCTTTTATTGTGTTCCGACTAGGAACCTTGAATAAAGGTTGGAGGCCTTCAGAATATGCTCTAAACCCCAAGTGGTCTACTATAGAAAGCGGATACTCATGAATTATTATCATAGAATCAAGATCTCTTCTAGATTGTTCTGGATCAAAGTGATAATTACTTAAATAAGTGGATGATCCGTCTACTTTCTTTTGTTTTCTCAATAAGATTGATTGTCTTATATCCTTATATGGCCTCCTCTTACAAGTTTGAAAGTGTTTATGCAAATGATTTGTTCCATCTGATCTTCTACCTGTCAGTTGCTTGTTACAATAATTGCATATAGTTTTTTCTTCCCCATTAATAATTTTTTTCTTAAAGTGATTTCATACAATCGACATCTTTCTTTTTTTTTTTCATCATGAGTTGCATCACAATTATCTCCATCCACCGAAATAGGAAGTGTATCAGACTGAGATTGAGATTGACCTCTAATATCAGAACTGTTACTCAGTCTAGAATCATTAAGTATACTTTTAGGAACATTTTCAGGTTGTGTGGGAGTAATGGAAATAATTGGAGAAGAGCTACTTTCAGATTCCTTTGAAGGAGTTACTCCACATATATTTTCCATTTGTTATTACCTATATAAAAGCAAGAACTTAAATAAAAAATCTTATTTAACCCAAGTCAATATAATATCACATAATTTTAATCACTAAATTTCTAAACATTTTGTATGTGTCATATATAAATAATTTTTTTTAAAAAAAATCAATCTCATATCAACTATATAATAATTAAATTATATTAGTCTAGTTAAACGATATAAAATAGTAAATAAATTTTTCTATTAAAAATATGAAAAAAAAACTATTTTTATGGTTTACTTTATTGATAAATATATTTTTATGTTAATCTTATAAAATAAATTCGATTAGATAGATTTTTATATATTTAAATATGCATTCTTTTATTTGAGTAACATAAATATTTATATTAAATTTCTCAACCTTTTATTTTGCATAGAAATTTTTTTGAAAATATAGTAGTATAAAATAAAATAAATATGACCTATAAAAAAAATCTGAACTGAGTAAAAAATATAAGATATGAAATTACATAAAATAAATAGTAAAATCTTTATCTTGACCAAAATTTTACAAAAGCATCCACAAAAACTTTCTAAAAAATAAAAGTAAGTTAGATTCTTGTTTTCTTAAATTATTAGTTCCTCAATTATAAGTAAAAAATTATTCAAACTAGAATATATGAAATTAAAACAATAAAAATAATTAAAAATATCAATAATAATTATAATAGAGTTTTAGGCTTACTTGTTGAAGACTTGTATTTGTATAAAATTTGTTGTACTCGATAGGCAAATTGTGAAGCAACTCATATGATTATATAATTGTCAATGATTATAAAAGAGACCTAGCCAAATATATAAAGTATTAACCCTAATTCTCTCTCGTTATGGACTTTTAGTTTAAGACCTTCTTCACATAAGTAGCATAATAATAATAATAATAATAATAATAATAATAATAATAATAATATATGCGAGTATGGGGTAGGGTGGGTACTTAGGTATCCATACCCGCCCCATCCCCATGAAAATTTGTGAGTATTTTTCTATACCTATACCCGTACTCATTTAGCGGGTAAATACCTTACCTGTTGAAGATAAATTTTACGGCTACTCATCGGTACTTTACCTAGTGTCATTCCTACTTTACATGATGATTTACACCAGACTATTTTTAAATGTAAAAAATTTAAACAGATGTAATGCTCTACGTTTGATTCCTTGTAGAAACAAGAACTGGAAAGTCAATTCTCATCCTCTTCACTTATTCTTGATGAACAAATAATGTCTATTTGCGCGTAAGACCAATTCGATTATCCGGTTGAGGAACAAATCAACTTGTTAATTTTCACGTTTTTGATAAGACTGATTACGAGTCTTCTCTTAAAATAGAAAAAGTCTTCTTATATATTTATACTTTTAATATAAAAAATTATTGTAATTATTTAAAACGAATTATATAACCTAATAGAAAAGGGATGGAAAGGACAATAGGCGGTTTGAAATTGAAGTTGAAAAGTGGATCGGCAGAGAAGTTGAACGATCGTGTTGCCCTTTGAATTGGTGATGATGTCGATAACAGGGATACAGGGGCAACCTCTTGAGGTTACGGGTAAGCAAATGCATGCTTTGTAATTGTGATTGTGACTCTCAATGTTTTGTAATTCTGAAGTAAGAATGAATGGAGGCAGTGGTGTCGTGTTCCAAGTTGAAGGACACAGAATGGATTTCAAGGCAAGATCCGTACGTTTGTGTTGAATATGGAAGCACCAAGTTCCGAACCAGAACCTGCACAGGTCAGCTTCATCTTATCTACTCCTTTGAGGATGGTTTTTTTTTTTTGGACTGAAATGGACATTGACCGGCGTTGACCTCTCTCTCAGACGGTGGAAAGAATCCCGTGTTTCAAGAGAAGTTCGTGTTTCCCCTCATTGAAGGCCTTCGGGAGCTCAATGTCTTCGTTTGGAACAGCAATACCCTCACCTTTGACGATTTTATCGGGAGCGGAAGGTATGCCCATGCCCTCACCCACCCCTCTTCTCATCCCTCTTCCTTTTTCTTCTCACTTTTTCTCTTTCCTCCTTCAGGATTCAACTGCACAAGGTTCTTTCTCAAGGTTTTGATGACTCTGCTTGGCCGCTTCAAACCAAAACTGGCAGGTTTCATGTCTAAAACCTCTGATCTCTCTACTGTTGATAATAAGGATAATTACCTCCCTTTTCATTCATTTACTTTGCCAGACACGCAGGTGAAGTGAAACTCATATTGCATTATGCTGCTCAAAATCAAAGGGTAAACTATATTTTCATTCATTTGTTTGTTTATTCAGATGATTAATTGGAGTGGAACAGTTTGTCATTAGTGACACTGTATTGGGATGACTTGATTTCAGAAATCAAACTCAGTCCATCCTCCTTCAGCACCTCAATATGCGACCCCTCAAGTCCCTTTGTATGGTACTTCCTACCCACCACCTCCCACTGCAGCTCCTTACCTTCCAACTGGATCTGTATCTGCTTACCAAGGTTCATACCCACCACCATCCACGCTTTCATACCCACCACCTCCCACTGCTTACCCTTCTTCATCTCCCTCTCCCTATTCTTCACATTCACCTGCCTATCCACCACCATCATACCCTGCATCATCTCCCTATCCTCCCCCTTCATATCCACCACCTTCTGCTTATCCTCCACCTCCATATCCGCCACCTGCAGGTTATCCTCCCGGTAATTCTTCTTTTCCTGATTGCTTTTCCTCTCCCCTCTCTTTCCCAACCTATTTATTTTGTTTTGCTTCTTTTCTCCTTCCTAATTAGATTCTTCTTCAGGAATATACCCTCCACCGCCATACTGACATGGATCTTCTACGTTCTCAAGCAAGGAAGCAACATGGCTTGTAGATGACTTGTATAATCTTCTCCCAGCTTTAGTTGTTATCAGGTGCCAAGGTTTTCAATGTTTCATGTATTTTACTTAAGGAGTATTTGTGTAAGATATTTATTTTCTAGTCATGACTTTCTTCTGTTAAAAAAGCTGAGATTGTCACTAGATTTATAGTCCTGATTCTTCTAATATCTCACTTTTAATATAAAATTAACGGTAATGATTGTTTCAAGTGTGAAAAGAAGAGCATGTGTATTAGATGGATTTGTGGAACGAAATTTTGATGCCACACTTAACAGGCACTTTGAAATTTGTTTGCCAATAGGAACTTCAGAGTTCCTTTCACTGATTGTTTAAACTCCCTCTAAATCAGTTTGAGTTTTTAGACGCATAGCTTGTGTAGTGTTTGTTCGTATTTTCTTTGGTAATTGGACATTTAATTGCGTCGGTATGGGTGAAACTTGAATTGCGGATCAAGATACTCAACTAGTAGGATTGAAGAGCGTCCATCAGATTACTCTATGTTGATTCCATGACCCAAAAGAACCAAAACCATCTAAATTCAAAATTATGTTTCAGGGATACGGTCAATGCATGAGTCCATTACATATGTACAACATATATTCAAAGATTATACGAGGTTATTCTGGTTAGTAGTGTCCACAGGTTGGTTTGTGTCAATTTTAAGAGAGAGGAAAGCCTTAATGATCAACATACATTGGTTTACCTTTTTTGTCAAATTTCAACCAAGTCAAGCTGATCAGGAATAGACTTATTGTCAATTGCATGTCAATCAATGCTACATTAAAGCAAGATTGTCGTTAAAAATAGGGGGGAAATGTAATAGGTTCCCTAAACTTACTTTTTTTTAAGTAGGTATTTTCAACTTTTAATTCAACGCTTTATACTATAGAGATTCATGCTCCAAGGTCGGGCAAAGTTTCGCAATCTCAATTGAAAAAGGGAACTTGTAGTACATTAGGAAATAACAATGCGAACAATATATGTACTTCAGCAAATCGAATAAACAGAGGACTAGAGGTATTCCGATCCAAAGGGGAATCACTTGATGACGATTTCATATCGGTGATTGGTACTAATGCACTTGACCTCTATGCATCTCCATGCTCTCGAATTTGACAAGCATTGTACATTCTTTGAAACGATTGATTTATTGCTTTCTGGAATTTAAATGGGTCCAGAGGTCGCAAAAAATTGTTTATTATGTGTTAAATAAACAATCTGAAATTGGGTTACCCTATCAAGAAAGGGATACTATTCTATTCAGCAAGTTATCCTCAACCTTCATCTAAAATTCCCCAGCCATCACGAATGAGCGTAAGAGCAATTTTGATGGCAATTACATATATTTATACATAAGAAACACCTTCATATATAATATAATCAGTAAAGTAGTATTAATTAACAACTATCATAAGGAAGTACCTTAAATAAGAAACCATATACAAATAAAAATGAGAATTAAATTTAAGTTAAAATTAAAAAAAAAAAGTTAACGAAGAGAGAATTTGTAAGACTTATTTAGCAATTTTAGGTTTATATTACTGGAAAGAGTTGTTGTTTGAGTTTAATACACATATATATTCTATCATAGTGGGACCATGTAAAAAGGTAAATTTAAGCATTATTGGTGTTCAACCGTTAAAATTTACCCTTAGCCCGTTAGTTCCAGAGCCAATTTTGTAGGAAGTAATAGTTTAATCAATGCGTCCAACTTTAGTTCTTGTGAAAGTAAAACTACAGCTGTTAATCAAGATATGCAAAAGTCAATTTTCGTTCAAACAAGCTCTCTAAGACATTACAAGCTGGCAAGACAAGGAAGCTCAAAAAAACTCTTCGGCCACATCCCTTTGCCTGTCACCTCACACTTGCTCCAATCAGAAGAATTTTCCGTAAATATCAAATGAATTACAAAAGGCCAAAAAATAACTTTCCTCCACACTCTCACTGCAGAAATTTCCATGTAAACAAATCCAAACATCGATTCATTTGTCTATTTGAAGTATGTTTCAATCATTTTCGTGTTTTTTCGTTTTTTTGAATTTTATATTTTACATGACATGTACGTTTCTTCATTCTTGAAATGATTTATTGGAGCGTTTATGCGCCCACGTTACTTAATACCGTAGAGTGCCAGTATATATATACAGGCACTCTATTTATTTCATTCCAACTTTCAGAAAACTACATTCAACCAAATGGAATTATGACGATTGCTGCACCCGTTTTCAAGCATAAACCTTTGATAACAGGATATCCTAGCATTTGGGTTGCTGTTTCCTGAACCAGCTGTTTCGAAATTCAATGTTAGCCGTTGAACCATTGATTCGAAGTGATGATAAGAATGCAATCAATTCATCAACGAAACAACTTGTAATAGATGTCCCAACCCTCTTCAAAGTCACTCGTAAATTGTACCTTGTTATTTGATGAGAATGCATCTTATCGGCGATCCCTCAGCACCAGTTAACCTAAGAGGTAAGCAATGGACTGTATATATTCCTGCTTCCACATCATCAAGCTTCAGGCCTTCCACGATAATGACTTCCTAAAACATTGACTTGTTAGTGTATGCTTCTTATTTATGCAACAAACATGTGTAATAATATGCTTTGACTCGGTGTCATTCAAGATAATATAGATATTAACTAGCTAACGAATAGTGAAACATGGCACTTATAATTCCTCAACCAGAAATTAAAAATTTTCTTACCCTGCCTTCCAGAAAAACAAGGTGCGCTGGAATCAAGTGATCAAAAGCAGCAATCGATATGTAATCGATTCCTACAATTGCATCGCATAAAATGTGTATGTCATTGCAGCACAGTTGGGAAAGAAAAAGAAAACAAATGTTTGAAAAATTAGCGAAGCACTGTGGTCCCGATGTTAAAATCATAGTAAGGTCAAGATTCAGAGTAATCTTTTCCCGTAAAAAGATCCACAACAAAAGAAATGGTAAGCAACTAGTTAACCATTGGGATTTGGGATGACCCTTTTACAATCCTCTGTCTGTAAACTAATACCAATATCAAACTCACCCTTATATTGAAATAATATACTAGAGACAGCATAAATATTAGGGCATATCTTGCTAGTTGACTACATTCTTATAATTATACTGGGTTAATTAGGAAAAGGAAAAATGACATTATGGTATAATATACAATTATCTCTTTCCCTCACTTTTAATTCTTTTCTATACACATACAAAAAAAAAAAAATACACTTCAAAATCAAAGAAAACAACTTTTTATTGTCTCATTTTAATGTTGACAATTTCTTATCTTTTTTCAAAATTTATCTAATCTCATGGGACAGAGAAATCGTGGGAAAAGTAGCCCGAACCCGGAAAATCGTGTTTATGCGTTACCTACGAGCTTGACGTCAGTGTTCTCCACTAACCATTTTGCCCCATCCACTGTGAATCCCACATAGCTTGTGTCAAATTCCTTCTGATACATTAGCCGCCTAATAATTCTAAGAGTGATTAGTTCCACATTCGACTTCTAGCAAGCAAACTACATATTTAAAAATATTGTAAAGAGTACCTCTCGGTATTTAGTGTTCGGAAGAGCACGCGACGTACGCCCCTTGGAATATTCAGTGACTTCATAACATGAGCTGGAAAAGAAAACATTGAACGGCATGTAATAATAATTAAGGTGGAAGAAAGAAAACATCTTACAATTACATACCTGTAATGTTTTGATGTCTTGGTACATGGACTAGCAGTGCAGGGCCTACGTGGATGATAGAGAAGAGAAACATGAGGAAGCATAAAGAATTGATGAGTTGGCATTTAATGGGTCACTTACCATTAAGGAGAAGTAAGTCGAGAGAGTCGACATCAAAACCAGCATGGAAGTAGTGATCGAAAACGTGTCCGGGAGCATCGACATGGGTGCCACTGTGAGCAGGAAGCTTGAATTCGGAGAAATTAGCCACAGAACCGTTTTTCATGCTTCTTCTGAGCCACAGGAACTGCCCAAGACTCTCCTTAGATTCCCACGCTGGCATCTGCGCATGGTACCTGTGACTGATGTCAATGATTCTTCCATTGTCGTACTCTTCTCGCCTATCAGGGATAAGCTCCTGATTACCCTCCGCTGCACAGAACTCATCAGCTGCTAACCCAACGCAGAAGGAGAAGGCCAAGACAATTGTCAGAGAATTGGAGTGTCGCTTCATCTTCATCTTCATCTTCTTCGTTTTGCCAGCAACGTTGTTATCATTATTTTCCATTCTCGCCAACGCCCAATCAATATTACAATCGCCCTTTCTCTCTTTATCCCCGAGTCAACGAAGTGGCCTCTTTAGTCTCCCCACTTGGATTATGTTATTAATCATAGTTCAGGGAAGGTTGATATCTATCTAATTCATAAAAGTTAATTATTAATATTTTTAATTAAAAATAACTTATTCATCACATAATTAAAACCAAGCATGCACTAGCATTATTGATTTTTTATTTTCTTTACCTTAACAGTAGTCTTATTAAAAAATATATAACCTGGAATATTTTACTAACAAACATATACAAAGAGAAATTTTTTATAAATTATTTAATTAATTAATTGATAGTAAATAAATTAAATAAGTTATGTATAATTTTAATATAATATTAAGTGTTATTTTAAATCATTTAACACAAATCAATTAGTGGTACAACTAATTTGTTAAATAATTTAAATTTTATAAATAATTTATGCAGCTATAAGCTTTCTATTAGTTTCATAGTTAGAAGTTATAAGCTCACAATTTTTAGTTTATATATCAAACATAGCCTTAATAAGTTCTTTGTCATTATTTTTATAAAAAAAGAGAGTGAATGTTTAAAACTAAAAATTGTAGTAATAATATAATTTTATTTTTTTGCTATTGTTGTTAAATTACAATTTAGTCTCTAAATAATTTTCAATTTTTCTTAATTTTATAATGGATATAAACAAACCTATTTAAACTAAATTTATTAAATTTGATCTTACATCAAATACTTAATTTTAATCAAATTAATGGAATTGTCATCACTTAATTAAAATTAACTACAATAGTACACGTACACGTACACCTACTATCTAATATTTATGAAAAATGGTAACTTTATTAGATGCACCATGACATATCATACAAGTGCTAAATGCATTTCATACATGACAATATAGCGCTAGGTGTAGAAAATAATAAATTTGTCCTTAAGGCCATTAAAGCTAATATATAGCAGGAATTTCCAAACTAAGATATGTTTTCCTTACTCACAAAACTCTAACTCTACCAAATTTTTCTAAATTATTGGAGTGTTTTTTTGTAGGAAAATCCCTCACTGAGGAGACTAAACCATTATGAGAGATCGCTAACAACCCCTCGCCAAACTTACTAGAGCATTATGAAAGACCACTAGCAACCTTTATCAACCTTCAAAAATCACTAGTATCAAGTGTTTAGGCTACCCTCAATACTCAGGTACGAACCATTAAGGGTTTTATGAGTAAGGATTGTAAAAAGCTGTTAAAGTTATGCGGAAGCGAATAATAGATCAATTAATACTAATCTCCAGCCATTGCAAGTTGATTCGCGATCAAAGTTTTCGGTCTTTTCAAATCTCCACTCACTTAATCACGATGATGTGTATTATTTTAAAGGAGGAGAGGATTCAGGTGACCTAAAACCATGAGAGTGTGAAATATTTATAGGACTTTGCTCATCATAAAGCCCAATTCAAAAATTAACAGAGGCAACATCTGCATAAAATAAAAACTGAATGTTGTTAATGGATATATTGATCACATTATGTTCCTATTTTTATGTTCCTTAAAGATAGGAACTAAAACTAAATGGGTTGCTAACATTCTCCCACTTGATCCATTAATCTCATTATCAACCATAACAAGAAACCAAATATATGAATCATGGTGACAGTTTCTCCAATAGTGAGTATTATCTCTCATGTATCACAGTATACTAAATTTCTCAACACTAGCTCTCAACTTAATGAATAAACCACATGTTCATTCAAGGTTAAATTAAAACGATATTTCTCAAACAAACAAAAGTGTGCACAAAACGAAAGGGAAAACATCAAGTCTGAAAAAAAAGTCTTATAAAAAATAATAAAGGTACCCATAATGATTGTCACATCATGGAACCAAGTCCCATTCGTGTTACATGATCCTTAAAATTCTTTGGTGGCATGCCTTTAGTCAAAGGATTGACAATCATCAACTCAGTGCTAATGTGTTCAATGACCACTTTCTTTTCCTTAACACGTTCTCTTATGGCTAAATATTTGATATCGATGTGTTTACTTCAACTTTCACTCTTGTTATTATTAGCTACAAATACTGCAGCAGAGTTATCATAGTACGCCTTCAATAGCCTAGATACAAAGTCCACAACTCTAAGCCTAGATATAAAACTCTTCAACTATACACCATGTGAGATAGCCTCAAAACAAAAAACGAATTCAGCCTCCATAGTGGAAGTAGCAGTCAAGGTCTCCTTCACACTACTCCAAGACACAGCTTTACAGGCTAGCATTAAAATGTAACTAGATGTAGATTTCCTGGTATCAATGTAGCCAGCAAAGTCTGAGTCAGAATAGCCTATCACTTCCAAAGCATCAGTTCGTCTGTACATAAGCATGTAATCCTTTGTTCCTTGAAGATATCTCATTACTTTCTTTGCAGCTTTCCAATGATCAACACCTGGATTGCTCTGATATCTTCCTAAAACTTCAACCGCAAATGCAATGTCAGGTTTAGTGCAAACTTGAGCATACATAAGACTTCCAACAGCTAAAGCATACAAAATATTTTTCATGTGTTCCTGCTCAAGGTCATTTTTTGCAGATTGACTCAATTCAAGCCTGTCACTCTTCACAATGGGAGCTACACTTGGTGAACAATCTTTCATGTTAAACATTTCTAAAACCTTGTTAATATAGGTCTCTTGAGACAAACCCAAAATGCCTCGAGATCTTTCTCTATGGATTTTGATGCCTATGACATGAGGAGCCTCACCCATATCTTTCATATCAAATTACTTTGAGAGAAATTGTTTCATTTCATATAGCATAACTTATCATTAGTCGCAAGCAAAATATCATCCACATATAAAACAAGAAAACAAATCTTACTCTCACTAACCTTCAGATATATACGTTGATCCATGATGTTTTCTTCAAAACCAAATGAAGACACGACTTCATAAAATTTTAGATATCATTGACGGGAGGCTTGTTTTAATCCTTATATAGATTTATTAAGCTTGCAGACTAAATGTTCACTGTTACTAGAGAAGAATCCTTCAGGTTGTTTCATGTAAACCTCTTCTTCTAGATCACCATTGAGGAACGTCGTCTTCACATTCATTTGATGTAACTCAAGGTTAAAATGAGCTACCAATGTCATAATTACTCGAAGAGAATCCTTTTTAGACACAGGAGAAATGGTCTCCTTATAATCGATTCCTTCCCTTTGAGTGAATCCTTTGGTGACAAGTCTTGCCTTATGTCTCTCAATGTTGCCTTGTGCATCTTTCTTGGTTTTGAAGACCCACCCAGATCCAATGACTTTTACATCATCAGACAACTCAACGAGATTCCAGACTTTGTTAGATTCTATAGAATCCATCTCATCTTTCATGGCATTGTACCATAAATCCGATTCCTTAGAACTCATGGCTTGTGAAAACGTTTCAGGATCATTTTTGACTCCTACGTTATAATCTGATTCTTGTAAATACACCACATAGTCACTAGAAAAATTGTCGACTTTCTGACTCTAGTAGATCTTCTTAATGTTATCTCATTATCTTGATGAGGAACTTGTTGTTCAACCACTTCCTCAACTAGTTGATCAATGTTTACTTGTGGCTCCTCGTCAATAACTTAATCTACCAAATCATATTCAACAGCTTGTGGAACTTGGATAACTGGTTGTCTAATACGCTCTTGAACTGGAGGAGCATGAATGACTACCAATCTATCATTTGACTCAGAGGGCTTAGCTTTATAATGATCTGTTTCAATAGCAGTGTCTTGAATCAGGTCACTTCCACTAATCAAATATCAACGTTTACTTGTGGCTCCTCATCAATAACTTGATCTACCAAATCATATTCAACAGCCTGTGGAACTTGGATAACTAGTTGTCTAATATGCTCTTGAACTGGAGAAGCATGAATGAGTACCAATTTATCATTTGACTTAGAGGGATTAGCTTTATAATGATCTATTTCAAGAGTAGTGTCTTGAATCAGGTCACTCCCACTAATCAAATATCAACGTTTACTTGTGGCTCCTTGTTAATAACTTGATCTACCAAATCATATTTAACAGCTTGTGAAACTTGGATAACTGGTTGTCTAATACGCTCTTGAACTGGAGGAGCATGAATGAGTACCAATCTATCATTTGACTCAAAGGGCTTAGCTTTATAATGATATGTTTCAAGAGTAGTGTCTTGAATCAGGTCACTCCCACTAATCAAATCATTTTCAAGAAACTTTGCATTTCTTGATTCCACAATTCGAGTGCTACGTGATGGACAATAAAATTTATACCCTTTGGATTTTGCAGCATATCTAATGAAATACCCACTAACAGTCCTAGGGTCAAGTTTCTTCTCTTGTGGGTTATAAATTCTCACTTCAGACGGACATCCCAAAATGCGTATATGTCGCAAATTAGGTTTCCAACCTTTGAATAGTTCAAAAGGTGTCTTTGAGACAGCCTTAGTTGGAACACTGTTTAATACATACACAACTGTCTTAAGTGCTTCCACAAGAATTGAGGAAGCCTTGCATTGCTCCTCATGCTTCTCACCATGTCCATCAAAGTTCGATTCCTTCTTTTTGCCACACTATTTTGATATGGAGAACCAGACATAGTGTACTGGACAACAATCCCATGTTCTTGAAGAAATTTCATAAATGAACCAAGTGCTTGTCCATTCTCTGTGTATCTACCATAGTATTCTCCATCTCAATCTAATCTCATAATCTTAATTTTCTTTCCACATTGTAGCTCTACTTCAGCCTTGAAAACTTTAAAGACATTCAATGCATCATCTTTAGAACGAAGCAAGTAGAGATACATATATCGTGAGTAATCATCTATGAACGTGATAAAATATCCCGGACTACTTGCGTCCATGTCTGGACAACAAATATATGTATGAATGATCTCTAACAGGTTTGAATTCCTCTTGGCACCAGTTTTAGACTTGTTAGTTTGCTTACCCTTA